CTAATGAGCAAAAATGTAATTATTTGAAGTGGATCTAAATTGTGCTTCTGCTTAATCAGTCAGGAAAGAAATGAGTATCTGCAAGTTATGGTACTCACATACAGGAATGTTAACAGCCAATTACCAGGACTTTGTCAGCCCGCTCTACTTAACTGACTTCTAGCACAGACAAACCAGTCTATTTGCAAGCTTAACTCAGTCCAGCGTGAACCAGATCACATAGATTAGCTCCTATTGGCACGCAGGGTTGACTTGTTTCTGTCAGCAGGTAAATACAATGAGACATGAGGCCAGTCTGCAATAGTGCCAGTACCAAGTTGAAGGCTCAGTAAGAGGCTTTCTGGACTACTTAAAAGTGAGTTTGTAATGACACATAATACAACTGAAACACTGCCCTATGTATAGTGTAAACAAACCCTTAACCGCAACATACATTATTAATGAACACTGAAGTTGTTAAAGAGTTAGTTGGTGGAATAAAAGGCATGTCAATCAATAAGAGACTGATACCAGGGTTTTGACTGCATTTAGTCTGGTGTTTTTTTTTTTTTAGCTTTTTGAAGCCATATGTCAACAGGGATGTGGCTGTCAGTCCAAATTTAGCACATTAACTGTTTAGTAATAAACTATTCCATGCATCTAAAAGCAGGTCATAAATGCTGCCACAGAGTGAAACCCAACACGACATTTAAAAGCATCTCTATTTATTGAGGTATATTTACGTCCTTAAAATAGAAATGCACAAACCCTTTTGGATTTAGGACAGCCCAAATGATCTATATTTACCCACAGAATCCCTTAGAATAAAGACAGAACTATTGGAGAGACAGCAGGGGATGACCATAATGAAAAGAACAGGCCACTCTTCGAGCTGAGAAATATAGCATGTTTTGTTCCAGTCACCATGACAGGATCATCGTGATACTTCTTCGGCTGAGTAAATGGGAATAATCGCCGCTCTTGTTAATTTACACTCTCCCAGCTCTATTGGAAATTGCTCTGACCTTAATATTCCCTGGGTGGTGAATATGACAGAGTCTTTCAGTTATAAACGAGAGGGAGCTCTGAGCTTTATCTGTCATCTTCCAGCGTCTTGTCAAACTTGTCTTTAGCATGGGCGAAAGAGCGCTCTGTATGCTCTCAACCGCATTTTAGGGATTCTGAGACACAAACACATATGATGCCCATTATGGGATACATGACAGTTTGTCAAAAGTCACAGCTTCTTTCAATTGACAAGAGGCAGACAGCGTAAGACAGCTTGATCGAGCCCAATACACAGTCGATTTCCCATTTCAAGGAACTGCACTTACTCAAATTGGCAAATTGATGAGAAACAATGGTGCTACAAATGGCAGGTTAGACCTCATAACTAATTTACAAAAAGGGCTGTTTTGCCCATAACATGTTCTTGCTAACGAGATACATTGAGTCAGAAATTTAAGTCTACAGATCCAGCAGTTAAATTCACCAGTGGCATCAACGGAAACTGTTTTCACAGGTAACTTCAGTCACTTTGGTATCATCTGTTTCATGTCAAATGTTTACATGACAACTGCAGATGTAGTGCAGGTGTAGGCGTATGTGCTGTTGGCAAGATACCCTGCTTGTTTGTTACTTGTTTATTTGCTCTTGTGGCTGTTGTTTTGTATTTCTCTTAAGTCACAGCTACAGGTAGCATTGGATTGCTTTTGTTATCTTAGAAATCCTGCACTGCTGGATACATAGCATTAGCTTTTTTTGTTCAAGCCCTATATTTACAACTCCAAATCTCCAGCAATTTCAGGGTGTGAGGTTGCAAGACTCTGGCAGATTTAAAGAAAATACCCAGTGCTGAGGACTTTACACTGCCTTGCTGCACCTAAAGGCTATGTGGTTGCTATTTATTCTGTAAGATAGTAAGAAACATGTTGTTATTATTCAGCTGACATTGCAGGAGAAATCTATTCATTGTTTGATGTCATCAGATTTGAAGCTTTTAATGATTTCAGTTAAACAAAAAATCCCCAACAATCATCAAATGTGATTTACTGTCACATCCAGGGTTTAGATATTGGTGTCTATTCATTTATAAAGCCCTGTATGGCAAGTTGTTGCCATACAGAACTTCTTTGCTAAACTGATCCCAAAATTGATATTCAATTCATTAAAGTGATTGGCTGGTGCTCGAAGTCCTATGTGAATACAGCAAAAATTAGGAAAACTTCTTTAGTCTTTCTGCTGGAACATTTTGCAGCAGACACTGAAGCTTGCAACAACTGGTCAAAGTAAATCCATGGTCACAGACTACGTCGCTTTAAAATATAACCCTTTTTAATCGTGTCACACTGTTTTTTCGTTGATTGTTGCGTATGTATTCCGTTGATTGTACTCTCGACATCATTGTAAATGCCCTCCATGATTCCTCAATGATTTAAATTCTGGTTAAATGAAAGAGAAGCCTTGGTTCATGTTATCAAAACCAATATTAGAGTTTTCTGGAGTCATTATAAGAATGAATTAGTGTTAAAATGTAGCACAGTTGTGATAAACTCCATCAACCACCAGGAATGGTGCAGTCGAGTTTGCAAAACAGCAAACATGGCCACCGTGCTCACTCTGACATCACTTCCTCCTGTCAAGGCCCTGTTCCCATGATCCTTAGCTTCTTGTGGGGGACCATGGACCTACATGAGAAATCTAACTACTGACTGTTGGGCTACAAAAATACATCAAAGCATCTGCAACCAAATTCCTTCTATTGTCCCAGAACTAGATGCTGTGGTACCTTTGATCTGTGACACTAAATTGACTGTGCACTGGGGGTTAATGTATTGCGATGCAGTTTGACATCACTACATGTTGTAAATTCCAGTGAGTCACAAAGTAGCATAGATTACTGAAAGCCTGAAGAGACCTTGAGCGAATGTCTTACGCAAGAGTTTTCATACATGAATCATAAATGACTCCCAGTAATCAGCGGCTGCATGTTTAATTATTACACCCTAAACTTGCATATAAACAGTCTGCTGTCTCTTTCAGGCCCCTAATGCGACCTTTAGGCAGGTGTTTACATCACGAGCTTGGATTTGTTCATATTACGTTTCTTTAAATTGAACCCAAATGTCACTTTGATTTGGTTTTGTCTCACTTCATTATCCCTCACACACAACTTCCATCAGCAGCTCTCTCTTTTTTTTTTTCCTGCATGGCGAGAAGGAGCAGTGTTTACTCAAGCATATTGCAAACACTACTTGTGCATACCATTAGGAAGGCCTGACAACAAATGTAGGGGCTTGGGCAAAGGAGCCCCGAGGGTTTGCGATCAGCATGATGGTGATTGAACGTCGTCTGATTTATCTGCCTCCATTTTTCACCCTCCAGCAACACAAAACGGTGCCCGAACCATCCGCTTCCCCTCCACTGTTCTCGTCTCACTACACCGGGGATGGAGTCTTCACAGGGACAACAGCTTCTTTAAACACATCTGCGCTTCACTTTAAAACAGAAATCCTCAGTCTGTGTGTGTGTGTGTGTGTGCAGGACAAAAAGAAATAAATAAACCAGTCCATATGTGCTGTCCTCATCCGTATTGTGCCTTACACTTGTATTCTCTGTGTGTTTGTCTGCCATTTTGAAATGCTTTTTTTTATATATATATTTCAAATACGTGGGATTTTCTCACTCATGCCTCCTTTAAGTTATTACAAACGACTGTTTTTTAAATCTATGTATTTCCTGCTCGGCCCTCATCCGACACATGCGTTCATTAACGAGGCTTTGACTGTTCTTAGAATAGACTTGATCCTTGAAGACAGCTTAGCAGAGACTAAATGTAGCCTTAGCTTCACTCAACTTAGCCTGCCCCCTATGCTATTTCTAACGTGGGACAGATTGAGACAGATACTGAGCAAAAACATCTTAGAAATATTTATTCGAAAAGAACTCAAATAAAATCACAGCCCGCTGTCAAATATTTATGACGCTCAGGAGCTGATCGTCGCTTTGGGTGAAAAAAATAAATGAAATTGTGATGACACACGAAAATCCAAGCGATGCATGTGCCGCTGTGGATATGTAATGAAATAATTGCTCACTTCTGATCAAAATGGTACAAATGATACGAATGTCCAGGTTTTCAGCATCCCCTCTCATCCCCTCACCGCTCAGGATCCCACTAATAGCAGGCTGGCTTTAGAAGGGAGACCCCGCAATATTATGTGCTGTTAAAATCAGAAATTCGCTCCCCGCACACACAATCGCGGTTTTGTGAGGGAAAAAAACGCATAAATGTCTTACCTTGTGGAGAGATTAACGACAATAAACACCCAGAGAAACAGCTTCATGGGGAGGGAAGGCTTCGCCATTGCTATCGAGCATTTGAAGGCTGATTTTGGCGAAGCCGTCATCACCATCTTCGTTTCCTCTTTCTTGCAGATGGACGTGTCCGTCTATTTACTGTGTTTCCTCTCTACGATACATTACGCGCGTTAGCAGGAGCCGTTCTGCGAATCGAGACCCGAGGCGGACGCGCGGTGGAGCGAAATCGGACTACAAAAAAAAGGAAAGAAAAAAAAAAAAAAAAAAGGAGCCGAAGCGAACCGAATGCGAAAGCTTGGTTTTGTATCGCTCGTCTATTTTTTTCCTCTCTTTTTTTTTTTCTTTTTGGCGTGTCTGCTGCCGATTCGACAGCCTAGCAGGGGCCTACGAAGCTGCCACAAAACAGCGAAGCCCCAGGTAATAAGCTACTCCAGTAGCGAGCAGCCGAGAAAAGCAGCGGAGCCTCAGTCTGAATGCAGATTAACACTGGGGTCAGAGAGGAACTGATGCACGTTGCTGCAGCACGGATCAACACATGCGTGGTTTCACCAAGCGGAAGCACCGAGGCTTTCTACACTATTCTGTAGTCATTTATATCGAAATTACCGTACACGAAAAAAAAAATTTAAAAAATTAAAAAAAAACATAAAAAAATAATAAAGAATTTATATATTTATTATTTATTTATAAATTACAAAATGTGATATTTTAATGAATTAGTGCTCCAACACACAACATCTCTACAACTAAGTGGTCCAACCAAGTAAGCGCTATACTGGATATGATCACAGTCACATCAATGGTGAGGTCATGGATCAGAAGTCAGTAACAATTCATAGCGCTCATGAGGTTTTTAGTGCTGACTTTTGTGGATTATTTTTTTTCCCATTCTTTCTAAAGAGCTTGGTGAAGTTGATGGACATTTTGGGAGACAAGATCACGTTGTCGGACACGTCCATCCAAGCCACTATGCTGTCTGATATGATAAAAATGGTGGATTTATGGATACCCCAGTGCCTGGCTACGGCCCTAACAGACGTGTCATCATCGAACTGTTCTGATCTTTCTCTTGTCATCTGTGGCATCATGTCACTGGAATAAAACTGGATTTTAGGGACACACTATCTGAGTTTTCTCTTTAAAGCTACACCTGACTAGAGCTCGGATTAACAGTGGACGACAGTTCAGTTGGCTAAATGTATTCATTTTCTAACTAGAACAATAGAAATGAGATTTTTTACACTGTCTCCAAGTCTGTAAAGGAACTCATTTGCATGCTGTGTTAATACTTTTGTCAAGTGTTATAATTATATAGTTTTTTTTTAAGTGACTGTCTCCCAAAGTATTATTAATCAAATGGGGTGAGGGTAGGGTCCCTTAGAAAATATTGGTAAAAGAGGTGCAAACACACCATTTAATCCTATGTCACTGACCACTGAAGGTCTATATGTCTGAAAGTTGTCATCATCTTTTACTGGCTTTTTTTCCCACCTACTGAGCAGACAAAAAAAGCTCTCCTATAAGTAATCACACAAATAACTTCAGCTTGAGAAGCGTGTGTGTGAGAGTGTGTGTGTGTGTGTGTGTTTCTTGATGCCTTGCAAATCTACTTCCTCTAAAGCAGCCACAGCCATGTCTATGCCAATCACTCTTTCAGCACCATGGACAGCTCCATTAGTTCCATCTGCATTACAAACCACCAATCAGCACCAAGGACAGCTCCAGTCAGCTGTTTGCTGCTTAACTCAGAGAAATACTGACTTCCATGGCCCAGTGGATTTAGCAGAAGAAGTAAATAAATAAATGCAGTCTTTCCCAAAATGGAGCCCAGAAGTCTGTTGCTTTACTGTGCTGCTCCCTTTGTATATTAATTGATTGACTGATTGAATGAGGTTAAGTAGGAACGCAGCCCATGCCAAAGGATATATTTATATTTAGGCAGCACACACAATTCATCTATGATATGTGTGGTTTTCCAAGTCTTTTGTCATATCTTGAAACCATTCCAGGAAGTATTCTGCGGTTTTCGTTGCCATTTGTGAGGTGCACTAGTACCCATTTCAACATCCTTATGTAAGTATGCTAATGCCCCTGCTTTGGTGGGGTGTAACTTCTTCTCAAGGACTCCTTGAAAGGAAGTTTGAGGAAAAAATATGTGTTCATGATCTAAAATACAAAATGGTAGCCTGTCCCAAACTGCCTCATAAATTATTTTGATACTGCTGTTACACTTCACAGTATCTCTCCCTGTGTCATGCTCTCCCCGTCTATTTAGACACAGACACACACATTGCTCAGATAGCAAGTCTCAATTATCTATAAAATTTTACTTCAGTTGAAGCAGAGATATGGAAAGATAAATAAATAAAGCACAGGAGCACACAGAGAGCGAAACTGGTGCTCTCTACAGCTGTGTTTGTGATGCAAATGATGCGATCAAAGTAGGTCACGTGCTCTCATCAGCATTGTTTTGTCTTCGGCTTTGATTGACACGACACTTTCATCTGCCAAGTTTTCAGCTTTTTCTTGTGTGCATATGCTGAAGATATCTTTCATCTGAGTTACATTTGTCTTACTTTACTATATGTTGTTGTAGTTTGCACTGAAAGATGGAAAGCAGCACGATGGGATACAGTATTCCTAAAATAAGATCATGTAGAATACAAAAGCATATTTCTTTTTCCCGACTGGATGTACAGGATTTTTTTTTTTTTTTTCCTTTTAGGCATTCTGCAACTTAATTGATTTCCTTTTAAATGAATACCTTCCAGCATGAAAGCTGAATGTAAAAATAAATACCAGACACCAAGGAGAGTGGCAGGTGCAGTTGAAACAAGCAGGTGCTTGCAGAGTCATCGTCTTGTCATGGTGCATTAGTCCAAATTCCCTCCAGAACATTTATTCCACAAGCATACAGGCAGCGAACATGCTGCACTATCACTTTATACAGTCCCATGAGGCTATAGCCATGCTAAGCTGTGGTGCTGCTTTTTTCACATGTTTGTGGCTTATAAACTCATTCATTCAGAATGATAACAATCCATTGTCTGGTTCCAGTTTCTTAAACATCAGTTATTAAAATTTGACTGTGGCAATCAGCGCTGATTGCGGCTGGTACCACCTAAGTGTGACATGCATGGAAGATGAGGTGTATCTGATTTGATCATGTGTTTATTTGTGGCAAGTGAGGCTCCATGTAGGTTAATCATCTTAAGAAAATTGACAGATGCTTCATCAGCCATGCAGTACCTCTCGAAGCAGAGTGAACCAGCACCCTCCACTGATTAAAGTTTGGAGAGGAAATCTCTTGTCATGCTTAAATACACACTCCTAGAACCAGTTTGCAGTGCACTTTTCTGGCCAAACTATTTCAGAAGTTAAACAGGAAAGTCTTTTTTAAAATGAGTTTTTATTTTATTTATATATTTAATGACTATGATTTTAACCCTTAGCTGATTTCAGTGTCTGTTTTTTTTTTTTTTTGTGCCACTGTATAAATGTAGTCATGCAGGCCTGGTTTGTCATAGACTATAAATTAAACTTGTTTAAACACCAGTGGACACACACACACACAGCCCATAATACTTAGTCCCTAGGGACATGCATCACTCTCTGAGCAAAGAGCGGTCAAATACTCTTGTTATGCAGGTCCTGACCCAAGCATCACGGTCTAAGATACTAGTTAGCGGTCAGCGGTATTGATCTAACTGAGATGGAAGAGGTGATTTAGATAAATGCTATTGTACCAAATGGCCACTAAAGTTTAACAGTTAATTAACTCAAAGGGAGGTGGATTTATTTTACTCGTGGAAGACATACACTCTTGGTTGATAATTAGATACACAAACAAAAAGGGTGTAAGGATAGAGGGGACGGACTGTTGTTTTGCTGTTTGATGTCACAGTGTATTGCTATTTTCAGTTTCATTTTATTCGGTGTGGTTTATATTGACCATTTCTCATGATACAAGGCAGCCAGTTAATATCCTTGATTCTCTTTTTCATACTGTCTCGCACACAGACAGAGATGTCAGGTTAGATCCACTTGGTTCAGTAGTCACAGTTGCAATTTGCGCCAAATTGGCACATCCCCCATATCATGGAGGCACCTGAGCTTTCATGCGCTGACCTACCTCCACAAACCTATTTGTCTTTGTGTGTTTACACCCTTATGAGTATGCATGCAGGTAGTTATTTTTACAGACATACACTTCTTATAGGGTGTTACCTAGCTATATTCCAAAAAACCAGATCACAAGATGATGCCAAGCAAAAATGAGCATCAGACTGTAGTTAAATGGTACAAGTATTAAATTTATTGACTGTTTTACAAGACAGCATAATATGAATAACAGCAGTCTGTTAAAAAGCATCCAGGCTTTTCATTTTTTTTGTAATCAAACAGATAGGGTACATTATGGGCCCTGACAGCGCTGGCATGTGAAGGCTTAGTTTAGTGACATGTCTGCTTAAAAAATTTCAATAATGATTTCATCTTTAATGCCGCCCATTCTCTCTCCAGACAGAGTGGCATGTGTGAGTCTGGCTGTGATAATGTGTTGTGTCATCTTTAGATAAGAGCTGGGGGAGGTATAGCCTTCTATAATGGCAACACTGAACACACAGATGCCCAGTTCCACTATCATTCCAGTTTTACAACCCACACATATGCTGTCACAGCCCCACTCGGTTAGCATCAAGCTGTGGGAGCAGAATGATCCACTGTAAGCACTATTGGATATGAGAAACAGTCTGGCACTCAGACCAAAGTGATGTAACATCAGAAACAAAAATCCAAGTAGGAGACAAACATACACAACAAATTTTGAAACTTGTTTATTTGCATATGTCACTGTAGATTCAGCAGCCGCCGCGACAAAGACAAAAGAAAACACAGCTCCGAAAGGAAAAAAAGGAAAGAGCCACTATAAAGTCCAGAAGTCCAGTTGGCCTCTTTATTTAACTTAGCAAATGTGTAAACACATTCTTCTGAAAGCTTTTGGACATGAACACGAGAAAGCACTCTCTGAGGTCTGATATTACTAAAAATTTAAACCACATCTCAGAAGTGACCAGACTGGAAACCACTTTTTCCC